AGGGTCTGGATAACCTGCACATTCCCCATAAAGTTCAAGACTGGCTATATTCTGAAGGCTTGACATGGGGTATATACAAGAGGGAAGAAAGGTGAGTTCAAGGTCCTCACAATTCAGGCAGCTTTCCAAGGAGACATGGGAAGATCCCTAGTCTCAAGAAGAGCTTTAGCAATGTGTATATAAAAGGACCAAAGACTTGTATCTCACTTATTCATGAAAACCTCAGTTTCAGGGTTTGGAGTCTCTTCTGTATTTGTGCTGGTATAAGCAATAATGCTGGGACTGGGTTTTTTGTTTTTTCCTGGGAGGGATACAATTCGTACTGACACTGGGCTCTTGGCTGAAACTTACTCTGATCTCAAGTGCATTACATCTCACCAAATGCCTGGAGGTACATATCACCCTCATGGGAGATTAAAAAAAATCCAGGCATGTGATTCATCCAAGGTCTCACATGATGTCAGCAGGACAGCCAACAACACAAATGAGGGATCTTGACCCCCCAGGACCATTGCTGTCAAAGAGCAGACCACCCTCGTGAGCTCGGGCAACCTGGTAAACAGGGGAAACCATGATAACCTTGTGATGTAGCTTGAACTCAAGCATTTTACAGCTACACATGAGTCATGGAAAACATTTTACTCCCCAACTCATCTGCTTCAGTTAGCCCGTTTCTGTACTTCACCCTCTGTCCTCCCTGCTAAGCCCTCCTTGTTCTCTGTTACCATCGACAGGGCAGAAAAACAGGATCTCTCCTCCTGCTGCTCGCTGAGCACCTGCATTCACACCAGCCTTTGTTTGGACGGCTCACAGTGATCAGAGATCACAGGGCATTTTCAAAACTACCCCAGGCATCAGCCACTCTGTCCTAGAAGAATGTTTATTTACTCTTTCTTAATCAAATTTCTACCCTTTTTATCTTCCCACTCTGCAGCTGCTATCGGATTTCCGGCACATACATACATCAGTGTTTTCCCCCGACCCAGGAGGGTATGGGAAGAAGAGAATAATTAGAAAAAGGCTTACTAACCTAAAAGGAAATATTGGCCTTAGACTAGACAGGCTGGTAGATTGAAAAATCCACCCAATTCACGTCTGGGCCAGACCACACAATGGGTTCTAGCTAGAGTAACCTGTCCTGTACTTCCCCATTCAATACCGTCCCTCGAAACAAGTGTTTGCATTACTTCTTCAGCTGGAAGCTCAATGAATCACATAAACAAAACTGGCTAGAGTGCTTGTGGCAGGATTAGAACCTACCCCCCAGAACCTCCCAGCTAAAGCCCAAGCGCTCACTTCAGACTTGGGAAAGCTTCAGGGCCCCATAAGCCACAAGAGGACTGGAGGAAAATAAATGTGAGTTTGAATGCTGCAGGGTAAGTAGAGGTCAGGTCACTGCCAGAATGGCACATTCAGTGACAGGGGACCCAAGAGAGGCTAGGGTGGTAGTGGTAGAGTCTGCATCTGTCAACAAAGCCCTTGAGGTCAATTAAGTGGCCACAGACTAGCTCTAACTCTGTAGCTCTGATTGTGAAACTCAGACGACCACCCAGGGAGAGGAATTAGAGATGGGGGGGCCCTACAACTGGCACTCACTGGGAAATCCAAGGATTTTCACTCCCACTGTCTTCAGCATGGAGTCAAAAGACTTCAGAGCTACCTAGAGAAAAAGAATCATATCAATTCAAAATAATTTCTGTAAGCTTTTTGGTTGTTTAAAAACAAGGAGACTTTAATTTATATAAAACAAAACATGTATATCACAGCTGAATTACATTTACTGTACAAAGAAATAAAAAGTCAAATAGAACACAGGAATGGTACAAATGTCAAAACAGCAGCTAAGTATAGTGTTGATATCATAAATGCCAAAACCATTCAATTCCTCAACCCTTTCTTCCCCATGCCATCCCACTCCCAATCCCCAAGTCAATTGTTTTGTCTGAAACTTCCAAAGAAAACAGATCCCATTTTGGCTAGGTGTCTGTAGGATCTTCCAGGTTTGACTTTTAGCATAGAAAAGCTAGAAAGAGGGTCAGAAATGGGAGAAAGAGGTTATAATGAGCCTAAACTATCATCTCATTTCCCTCTGCTGCTATAAAGGCAAGAAACCCAATCCCTGTCCCCACATATCAAACTGCAAATCAGTTGGTGGATGGGTGTTCCCCAAAATCATAGGATGACAATGACTCAGAATTCCCCAAGAGGCAGTGAATCTGTTCCAGAAAAGGCTCCCCAAGCCCAAAAACAATAACTCCCGTGGCTATTCCAATTCATTCATTAGCCCATGTTTCCCTCAATATTCAGTTCTGAAGATGATGATTGTCTTCTGCTCCACTGGATTTGAGTTGGTGGCTGTGGGGTTCTTAAATACTGGGGCAGCCTTCATTTCCTAGGAAGGCCCAGTAGGAGACCATTTGCCCATAAATGCTAAGCGTATTTTACTCTGCCCATGAATTGCATGGGTTTTTAAAAAGCAGTGGGACTTGATTTGGGAAATTCATGTTTGGGATTTGTTATGAAGTCTTTGGAGAAAGGGAGAGATGAAAATGCAACTAAATACACTGAAGGATGTTCCTGGCCAGCTACCACCGGCTGTCCGTGGTTGCTGAGGGCAGTCTACGCTCTTGGAAAGGTAGGAGCAGGTGCTGTTTGTGGCCACACCAACACTGAGTTGGGAAGAGGTAGAATACAGCACCGATGTGACTCAAGCCCAACACGCCTCCCAGGCACAGATGTGGGGAGAGACAGAACTCAGTGGGAAAGGCTTAAGAAGAGCAGTGGGAGGAGGACAAGAATCAATCACAAGCTGAGGGCAGTGAGTGTCAAAATACAATAGGATGGGATTTTTGTCACCAGTCTTTTGGTGACTGGGACACACGTTTAGTTCTTAGAAAGCATCTTCAGTGGTCCTCATGGACCAAACAAAAGAAACTATTTCTGTGATGTTAAAAGATAATATTTATCTCCTAAATTCACCTCACAGAATCTAATGAGTTGATGACAAATCTATTAAGTGTTGAAAATGGGTGCTTGTGGTTCACTGTGCCTGTAAACCAGTATCCAGGGCTTTGTGTAGACTTAAATACCACTACACTATCACCAACTTAGGACCGTTTCAGAGGGTTGTTATGCTTGTTCTATTTTCTGACTGGCAGCAGAGAAAAGCCCATTTTTAAAGGAAAAGGAGTGATAAAAACATTAGATTAGTATGCTGAGGCTGTTGGGACAATCAAGTCAATCTTATGCATAATTTACAAAGAAGAATGTGTGGCAAGCACATTTACAGTCATGAAGATGGACAGTGTCTACTTCTCTATGTCAGATGGAGTCCAAGAGTCCAGAATCATGGATTCACTATCTCTGCAAAAGACCAAGGATAAAAGTAGCTCTACTATTCTTGGGTTTCCCTTAATCAAGTATTTAACAATTTGTGAATAGCTTAGGGACTTTTCATTCTGGTAAATGCTGGCACAAATTTCATCTATTAAGCAACAAAGGTGAAGACAGCATCGCATTTAAAGAGAGAATGATTTCCAAGGCCAGTTTGGAGCAGCACATTTTCCCTAGCTAAAGAATATACTGAGTCATGGGAGTATATGAGCAAAGTGTTAAAATAATAATACACCGGAGTAACCCCCGGATTTTTTCTCATTTTGAAACCTTTCAGTTTGGAGGCCTGCTGAAGCTCTCACACCTCTCAAGCAGGAAGTGATGTACGACAGGTGAAAACTGGGAGGACAGAGCAGAGCCAATGGAATAGGGAAGGTGTAAGCAGATGAAATCCAAAGTGGCTCCAGAATAGAGCCCTGTGCTTCTCTAACTGCATATCTCCCAGCTTGAAGTGACTGTGCTTTTACACTCTTGTCATGCCCACATTACCCAATGCTGTATGATGGAGGTGAGGAGACCCACAGAAGCAAGTCAGTCCAGGTGTGTTCAGCACAGCTACCGAAAAGCAGGCAGAGGATGCACAAAGCCAAGCCAACCCCCAGTCAGCATTCTCCCGTCTTCCTACTGGCGTCTTCATTTAATCTACAACATTCTTCCTGTTTTCCCACTGGGGTGAAGTGTATTCAAAGAAAGAACATTTCAAGCTTTAACAGTAAATTCCTTATTATCTTTGTGGAAAGAGTACTCAAACATCAAAAATACTTGCTACTGCAAAACACCTGTATCAGTTCATAGCTTTCCTTAAAGTGTTTTCATTTCCCCTTAGCAGATGCACTAGTAATGAGTGCAATGCTATCACATGGCTGCATAAAGGTTTCCCTGACTGCTTTTTAAAAATTTACCCAAAAAAGTGAGATATTATATATACTTCTATATAAATAAGTGAAAAAGGCAGGCAAAGCTTCCTTTAAAATCCTTAACAGCCAGCTCCCCAAGAGCCTTTTTTTTTTTTTGGCAATAGCAGTACTATCTACCGCAAATTTGCCATCCCCCAAACCCTTTCAGTCTTGTTTTTTATATTTTAAATCAAGGACCTCTATAGCACCGGCAATTCATTTGAGTTTATGGGTTCATGCGGTAGCACAGGTTCCCCTCACCACACCCTATACCTCTCTAGTCTCCACTAATCCATTCCTTTTGAGACTAGCTAAATTGTTTTCCCTCCCAGCAATCATATATATTTTTCTTCCACCTTCTCTTTGACTAAGTGAAGAGGAAATCCCAAAGCTTTCTGGATAGGGTGTAGGGTCCAAGTCTTCCCTGCCAACGACATGGGATCCAGCCAACCCAAGACTCCAAGCACACCATCAGGAACATTCCCTAAGTGAAATACCCTGGCAAGAGAGTAACCAAGGAATAACAGCGGGCTCCATTTTTTTCTTTTTTCTTTTAAGAGAGTTGAATGTGCAAACATTTGTACATGGGTGGGTGGGTGGGTGTGGGTGTCTTTACGCTCACTGAGTTCTTCATTTTGCTAAGAGATCTTGCAGTTGCTTCGTGAGCAGTTCTGTGGGGGGCTCTGTGGAGGACGGATGGATTTAGACCTCTTCAGGCTATTGCCTTTGCTGCTGCTCCCACCCCCGCTGCTAGCCAGGGAATATGAGCGTCCATGCATCATCACCGCATTCATTCCATTGGCCATGGAGAAGGATTTCAGGTGACTTTTGATGGTGACAGGCAGTGGAAGCTTGTCGATAAGATGGACTGGGGTACAGGAGACAATTGCTCGACAGCAGAGGTCCTGTAAACTGAACACTGAAGGAAAGCCAAAACAGAAAAGAAGGTAAATTTCTAGCATTCGCAAGGTTACATCTCTGATATCTCAAAGATGACCTGTGTTTCCTTTACAGAAATAGCAAATGAGTGATAAAATTGTCTCATAAAAGGGAAAGAATTTTTGGACACTGAAAATGAAGTTAAAAGGCCGTTTAAGTTTAACTGGTTTAATTAGAAGCAGTGGCAATGTGGAAGCAACAAAGAAAGAACAGAAATGGATAAAGGAACACACTATCATAGATTTGGAGCTAGAAGATGCCTCAGAGTTCCACTAGTCTAACCCATTTTTACAGATGAGGAAAATGGGGCCCAAGAGCGGTTAAATGCCTTGCCTAAGTTCACAAGGCAGTTAAGTGGATTTCTGAGTTCTTTCCAGTTCCAAAATCTTTGATCATATCACCCAGTGGTAAAGCCAGGAGGCAGGTTCAGGTCCTCTGGTTCTAAATCTAGATCCCTAATTCCACTGTCTTTTTTTGGAGCTAGGACTTGAAGCAAGATTTTCTGAATCTCAGACCTGTGTGCTTTATGCTACAACGTGCTGCCAACAGAATATCCCTTCAGCCCACTGACTCAAAGGAAAGTGCTTATGAAAAGCAACAGGACAGCTTCAATTGTCCACTTGATGGCACCCCTCTCCTGTTGGTCTGTTCAACAATAGAAAGGAATAATGAAAATTATTCCTGGTTCTGAGAAGAGTTGAGGACAACATTGAAACACTGCTTTGCTGAAACAAAGGCTTCTTTCTGGACCTGCAGTGTTTTCTTTAAAACACCAGCTTTCAGTCTTCTTATCTTGTTATTTAGGAACTAATCTATATAAAGAGATTATATACAATAGTGTGGTTTTTTTGTTTGTTTTTTTTTTTTGCACCAAGCCACAATTAGGTCTTAAGATCTCTTTTCTACCCTTAAGAAGTAATGGGAATACCTATTGGTGTAAAGCCAGAAAGGACTTCTAGGTTAGTGCAATTTTGCAGCCTTCTTACAATTTAGGCGGCCTTTAAGTGGACTGAATATGCCATTCATTATAGGCAGTCCTTGATTTTTAGAGTAACACATTCCTAGAAAGAGAATTGCAAACATAAAACAGATAGTTTTCCCATAGGAGAAATGTCATATTTGGAGCTTACGCCCTGACTAAAGATTTGGCCATGTAGTCATAGGGTTTTTGAAGCTGGATGGAATCTTAGATTATCTAGTTCAACAATCTATTTTTGGAGCTAAGGAGACTGAAGCCCAGAGAGGTTAAGTGATTTTCCTAAGGCCACTCAGGTCTTTCGGACTCCAAATTCCATGTTCTTTTCACTACACCACTAAGATGTTAAAAAATATTACAAAAGTAAATGTATAATTATAAATTTTTATAATTTTAGATAGTAAAATGCATAAATGTACTATACAAATTGATTATACTCAAGATGCCAATACATATGTACACTGCATATAAAACTACAACTCTATTAAAAATTTGATCTAAAAAGAATGCACTCATTGTAAATACAAATTAATCGCTCAACTTTGCTTTCTTAGATATTAGAATGACTTATAGGGGGCTCCCTTAACACACGGTGGGGAATAAGGTATGAATTGCAGGGTCTATGTCTCTCAAAAAAAGGAAAGGATATTTTAATTGATGTCTCTTTTTTTCTTAATAACTTTCCGTGTCTGTAGATACATGTCACTTCAATCGGGTTCACTTTTGTTTGGTCTCTACTTCATTTTCTTCACCTCAATGCCCCTTCCCTTTCCGCCAATCATCAAATGTAGCTATGAAGGAGGAGAGAAATTACAAAAGGGCAGCCTAAGGAGTCAGTGTAAAAGGATAGTCATTCTCCTTTCTCGGAGGAAGGTGAAGATACCATACATAAGCCTGTGAATCTCAGAACTGCTTCTTTTTTCAATTTAATGTTTTAAAAACACTTAGCTAAAGTGACCTTTCTATACATTTTTACTATATATGAGAAGCCCTGTGAAGGAACAAGAATGAGTGAAGAGAAGGGATGAAAAATGAAGTGTAATTGGTATTAGCACTGAAGTAAGAGAGCAAGGCAATTTCACAAAACTAGGCCATTGCCCATATTAAAGAATGTGACAATTTCTCAACTAGAGGTTGCTATAGCTAAGCTGCCCTCTTGATACCTAAGGGGAAAGGACTCCCCCATTTTCAACCCTTATTAGTATGGTTAAACCAAAGTTCCCGAAGCTTTCCTCACCTCTGTTGGGCCTCCAGATCTTCTCCATGCCGTGTCGCATGAGAACAATCCGGGACAGTTCTGTGAAGGATTCAATCACGTTGAAGTTGCACAGGGGGCTGACCTCAAAGAAGGTCATGCAGTTCTTTTCGGCATAGGAGCGGGCTTGCTCTGTTGGCACCTGCCGCTTGAAGGCCAGGTGGAGCCTATTTCCCACCAAAATTCGGGGAACACCAGGAGCGTGCTGAAGGAAGAAAACAGAATTCGGACCTGTGTCAGGCAAAGAAAGGACTTGGCACTGAGGCATAAAGAAGGGAAGGATATGGCTCCAGGGGCAGTTTTACTACTAATGCAAAGCATGGATATTTTTCTGACATTTTCATGTCTACCAGAAATTGAGAAAATTTTTCTTTTCTCTGGTTCTCTGGTTTAGATGGGCTACAGAAGAGAATAAAATAGATTGACATCTTAACAGGCTATCTAAGCCAGACAACTCCAATCACTGTTCTGCTTCTTTAAGATTACGGTCACTGGAGGCCCTTCTCAAGTGTGGCAGCATCTTTCCAAATTTACTGTTTTAGAAAAGTCTGAGTTTTTTCTGGTATGTTTCTATATTCAAAAAACATACTTACCTCATCGATTTCCTTTATCCATCGATCTATGCCATCAAAGGACCAGCGGTTTGTGATATCATATACTAAAAGAATTCCCTATAATGGGGGGGGGAAGGGAGAGAGGAAAAAAGAGAAGATTTATAAACTCCTACTCTAGTCATGGTTAGTACATAAAGAAGCATTTACCTTGGTACTTCCTCAGATACCTCAGGGAAAAGAGATTCCCATGATCTTTGTAACCAAAGAAAAAGCCAAAAGTAGAATAGTCAACATGTAATACATGCAATCCAATATTCCTATTAATTAGTGGCTACATTGCTCAACTGGGTAGAGACCAGAAACCTTATACTTATATTACCTTATATTTAATATAATATAAAAAATAAGACTGCCTATTTCATTACATGTTATATCTCCCTCCCTCCTCAAGTGCAGGATCCATTTCTTGTCTGTCTTACCAGTGCCTTGCCCATTGTAGGAACTTAATAAATGTCTGTTGACTTGAATTGATACTCATGAAAAACTAGTAGTAGGAAGTAGTAGTATTATGTCCATTTTACAGGTGAAAAAAAAAAAAAAAAGACTTACAGAGATGATTTTTCCGAGGTCACAAAGCCAGTAAGTGGAAATATTGGAATTAGCCAGTTCCAGTGATTTTTTCCTCTACATTATTTTGCCTCTTTTCTTTACCCCAACAGAAGTGGATAAATCATCTGTGGCTTTAATTTATCCACACCAACATCCCTCTCTATTGATACATGTAGACTATAAGCCTCTTGAGGGTAGGAGCTACTTAGTTTTTTTTTTTTACTTTGTACCTCTGGCATCTGGCTTATAGTAGGCACTTATTAAATGCTTGTTGATCAACTGACATGGAAATGAGAGGATGGGAACCTTACCTATATCTTCTATTATCATAACCAAATTTACACCTGAAAAACGATTGCATATACTGACAGACTCAACTGATGTATTGGCTTTGCTAGAATTGTTTTTATCCTCTCTTTTTTATTCTTTGTTATAAAGAATAGCTCCATGGGTAGAGAAACGGGGGAATATATATATTCAGAAATTAAATTAATTAAAAAAAAACCATAGCCTATCTTATGAATTCCTTGGCAAGTTACATAAAATTATGAAAATCCTAAGCTTAGCGGAAATATCAAAAGGGTACCTTTTGTAGTCTATGTGAAGTTCTGTTAACTTGGTCTTAATTAATAAAGGAACAAATTCAGGAAATCAAATTTACTGCTTAACATATCAATAGACCAGACTTAGGCAAGTCTGATCTTTTCCAAATTATTTCTTAGATTAAAATGCTTTATAAATATCATAAATCGATTCATCAATAATCAATCCATCAGCAAGTATTTATTAGGTAGTTACTATGTGACAGGCCTGGTGATAGATGCTGGAGATAAAAAGAAAGCATTTGCATGCATACATGTACACACACACACACACACACACACACACACACACCAAAATGGTTAGAAAAGGAGGTCATTAGCAGTACCTCCATGTTACAGAGGTTCCCAAAGTCGGTGATAACATCCCCTAGGGGGTACTGGACCGATCCAAGGGGGCAATAGTAGCCTTGAATGCAACTGGGGATGGGGGTTGAATAGTGGAAGCATAAAGAAAGAAAATTTTGAAAAACTGTCCATACACGTTTCATATGTTGTGTAACAGAGTTAAAGTTGTAGTGATTATATTATTTTCCAAATAAATACACAAAATGCAAGCTATAACCAATCAGTGGTCAAGTCTACTTGAAAGGTCTTAACAAACAAGTGTTGGCAGGCGAGTGTGTTGCACATTGTTGGGAAATCCAACATGCATCAGCAGGATTTCGTGTGATGACTTGTTTACAATATGATACTATATGGTTATATGACACAATATTGCATCATTAAAATTTCAATGCAGGAAAAAAATCAATTTACAACAATTTACAATAAATGATTAAATTTGATGTCATTAAAAAAAACATTAAAGGGTTAAATAAAGTAGATTTCCAGGGGAGTGCTTAGTAATTTTTTTTAAAAAAGGGGGCAATAGGGGCAGCTAGGTGGCACAGTGGATAGAGCACTGGCCCTGAAGTCAGGAGGACCTGAGTTCAAATCGGGCCTCAGACCAAACACTTGACACTTACTAGCTGTGTGATCCTGGGCAAGTCACTTAACCCCAATTGCCTAATAAATAAATAAGGGGGCAGTAGGCCAAATAAGTTTGGGAACCTCTGATGTAGAAGGTGGTACTTGAGTTGTCTTGAAGGAAGCAAGGCATTCTATGAGGCAGAAATCAGGAAGAAGTGTATTCCAAGTTATATACAGACAGCTTGGTGGTAGTAGATCGTGTTGGATCTGGAGTCAATAAGATCTGAGTTCAAATCTGTCCTCAGACATTCACTAGCTGTGTGACCCTGTGTAATTTACTTAACCTGTTTGCCTCAGTTTCCTCATCTGTAAAATAGGAACAATAATAGCACTTATTTCCCAGGGTTGTTAAGGATTACAAAAAGTTAGCTAAGCAGCATTGAGGTCCTTTTTTAAAAAAAAAATTTTTTTTAAGCAATTTGGATTAAGTGATTTGCCAGAGTTATACAGCTGGTAAGTACCTGAAGCTGAATTTGAACTCAGGTCCTCTTGACTCCAAGACTGCTGCCCTATCCACTGTGCTACCTAGCTGCCCCAGCAGTGAGGTCCTAATTGAGAATCAATTGTATAAATACTTTTGTATCTTCTCCTGACTTGATGTCATGGATAGAATAGTGGAATGTCAAAGGGGTAAGGGATTCTATTCTGCTAGTGAAGGCAACATTAAAATGGCCTATCATGGGTCTAGGCAGGACGGGTAAACAAGTGGAGCTAGAAGGGGATTGTCAGGGTAATGGCAATGGGGAAGGGTCTAGGGTCTAAAATCTAGATGAAGACAAAGAATAGGGACATTGGCTATGAGGAAATGGTCGAGGTGGAAAGAAAGGATTAGGCAGAAAGGCAGAACTCTAACTTCAGTAGTTTGTTCAGAAATTTTGGTTTCCAAAGTACCTTTCTAACTCTAAATCCTAGAAGGTGAGTGATTGGTGGGTATAGAGATGAAGGTTAAAAGAACTAAGAGGATCAAAGAATTTCAAGGTCAAGATGTTCAGTCACTGATGACTATAGTCACCTTTTCACAGAAAAAAAAAAAATTCAGCAGTCATATATGGAACCAGTGAATGGACAGCCAGGAGAGAATTTTTTCCAATTCCTGGTTGTAAGGTATTATAAGACCATACTTTCACTGTTTATGGCATAAGCCACAGTACTCTGCATCATCCAATAACTGCAATGTTTAATCTAGTAGTCTAGTAGTATCTTGTAGCTTGTGAATACAAAGGAAAACCAAGATAAGCCCCTTATCTCTCAGATTAGAGAACTATTTGGAACTAGAGGTTCCAAATCTGTCAACTGCATATCCACAGAAATATTTCTCAGGAGGGTTACGGTCAGGAGAAAATGCTCATTACATTTTCCAGAAAATATCTTTGAAATAGCCCCAAGGAGAGGGCAGAACCCCCCCCCCAAAAAAACCCCAACCAACCAACCAAACAACAACCAAAAAAAACAACCACCACCACAAGACTAAACTAAGAAGGAAGGACCAATGTGAACTTTCTTCCTTATTCTTTTCTTAATAATTAGAAAGTCAAACCAATAGTGAAGATTGTATTGTAGAGGTCTAACCTCCTGGGTTCAATTCTATTGCAGGGAAAATTCATAATAGAGGGTCCAGCACTCCAAACTGTATGACCATAAGTTTAACAAGAAAGCACATTACGTAAAATTAAAACAAAACAAAACTGAAAACAAAACCAAATGCAGCAAAAATTATAAAGGAAGAAATCCAAGCTTATCAACAACCACATGAAAAAATGCTCCCAATCACTAACAATGGATCCATCAACCCTCTGTCAGAAGGTGGGTAGCAAACTTCATAATTGCTTCTTTAAGTCACAGCTAGTTATTCTACTGATCAGAGTTCTAAAATTTTTCCAATTTCTTTGCTTACAGTCTTGGTTACTATATAAATTGTTCTGGTTCCCTGCAGTGAATTTTACATGTTACTTCATTTGCTCTTCAGTTTCCTTGTGAAGTTAAGAATAGGCTTTCTCACTTTACAGATGAGAAAAAAAATGAGGCTAGGAGAACATAAATGATTTGTCTATGGTTACACAGATAGTAAGAGGTATGAGTTGAAAAAAAGTGTTTTTCTGACTTTAAGTCTAGTATGCTCTTTCTTCCACTGATTCTGTCTCCCTATATTCTCAGAGATTGCCTTTGTAATTTGAAGATGAATTACAGCAGAGAGAAGGATTTCTACACTAAACTGAGTTCAGACTACAGCAAGAGTCCATGAATAGTTCCCTGGTTAGGACAACAACCTCCAAAAAAAATGGAGTAGGAGACAAGAGGACATGGAAGATCATTAGAAGATTCAGATCATTATATTTTTCTTTCTTTAATTCCAGTTTTACTTGGAACTTCCATTTGTCCAGAAGAGGGAGAAAGACAATGTTATTCTTTAGTACCACCATCACCTTCCTCTAAATAAGGCTTTGTGATATTTTCCTATGGTATTTGCTAGGTTTTTTTTCCCCTTACTATTAACTTTTAAATTTATTTAAAACAGAACTCTCAACATAATGCATGTTTCAAAGTTAATGCAATAATTAAAATAATAATATAAAACTGTATTCATCACCAGTAATCAAAAGGTATCCTAAGAATTATAAAATTTTAAAGCTGGAAATTTACTTAGTCTGACTTTTTCATTTTTACAAATGAGGAAACTGAAGCCTTAGAAGAGAAGGAACCGCTGCTCAGGATCGCATAGCAAATTACTGGAAGAGCTGGCTGTCTTAGTCCAGAGCTCTTTCCACCATATCATGGGCACTGGTATCATTTAAAGAATACATTTCTATATGAAAAACAGCCAAGACAGATAACTCCTTAGAGAGAGAGACTACATCTTATACCTCTCCATATCCTCAATTCCTAGAACAAATACCTTGAACATCATAGCTGACATGTGTTTTATGATGATGATGATAT